ACTCCCACACCCACTTTGGAAATCAGTATGGAAATTCCTCAGGAAAATGGGAATTAATCTACCACAAGACCCAGCAATTCTACTATTAGGCATATATCGAAAAGATGCAAATTCATACAACAAGGACATCTGCTCCACTATGTTTACAGCAGCATTATTTGTAATAGCCAGAACCTGGAAGCAACCTAGATGCCCCTCAGCTGAAGAGTGAATAGAGAAAATGTGGTACATTTACACAATGAAATACTACTCAAAAGAAAAAAACAATGGGATCTTGAAATTCGCAGGTAAATGGATGGCACTAGAAGAAACCATCCAGAGTGAGGTAACCCAGTCACAAAAAGACAAACATGGTATGTACTCACTCATATATGGATTTTAGACATGGATCAGGGTAGTGACAGTCTGCACTTCCACTGACAGAGCGTCTGGGAAAGAGGAAAGAACCTAAGAGAGATATTCATGGTACCCCAGAGAAGAGGAATGAGGCAAGATCTTCTGAACAGATTGGGAACACGTCAAGGGGTGGGGGTTGGGAGCTGGGAAGAAGAGAGGAGTAGAAGAGGAGGAGAGAGTAGATCTTGGGGGAACAGGAAGGTTGAGTGGGGGTAGAATATGGGGAAGAGGGAGTCATAGTTTAGAAAACAGATCTGGCACCAGTGAGACTCTAGTGATCTAAAAGGATGACACCAACTGGTAAGCTAAGCAATAGTGGAGAGACCACCTTGAATGCCCATTCCTGATAATGAACTCGATGTCTATAACCATCCTGGAGCCTTCATCCAGTGACTGATGGAAGCAGAGGCAAACACACAATTAATCACTGAACTGAACTCATAGAACCCAGTGACAGAGAGAGAGGAGCGATGAGCAAATTGGCAAAGAATGGGCTGGCAAAACAAGCAGAGACAGCTGATCCAAACAGGGGAGAGCTCTTGGACCCCAGACCGACAGCTGGGGGGCCAGCATGGGACTGATCCAGACCCCCTGAGTATGAGAGTCAGTGAGGAGGCCTGGGCAACCTCTAGGGCCCTGGGCAGTAGATCACTGTTTATCCCTGGCATACAAATGGACTTTGTGTGTCCATAACAAAAACAGGGATGCTCTCTCAGCCTGGACTCTTAGAGGAGGGCCAGGACCCTGACCTGAGTGAAATGACAGCCTCTAGATATCCTCTATGTAGAAGGAAGTGGGAATAGGTTGGGAGGCTGGGGAGGATGGTAAGGGGTGTGGGAGGAGTGGAGGGAGAGGGAACTGGGATTGACATGTGAAACAAGCTATTTCAAATTAAAGTAATAAAAAATAAATATGAATCAGTCCACTGAAGATGATTTCAATAAGTTACTGACATACTTAAAATGCTATACATTGACTTAGTATCTTGACAGTTTAAGGGAAAAACTTATTAACGAAGAAAATATTTCAAAGCTTGTTGATCAAAAAAAAAACAGGTGTCATTTCAGTTGCTTCAACAGCTGGCTATCTGTGAGAAATGGGGGAGTTTAGTCATTTTTAGTGTTTGTTTTGTGTTTTGCATACACAGATTTTCTGAATTCCATTTTCTGAGCATATGAGTAGCTTCTAATAGTATCCCCCAATTCAAGCTATGGACAATTTGGGCGGCATATGAGAATGTTTAAAAACCACATTTTCAAAGCAAAATTTGTTCATATTCTTGTTGAAAACTCAATTTTGATGAAATATACAAAACCCCAGAAGATTTTTTTGGGAATCTCCAAAATAAACACCCCCCAAACCTCCTTGTAAACATCAGTTTTGTGCAAACAGCCCAAAACCAGGTCTTGGATTCATTTTCAACAAATTTGTTTTATTTTTAACTGTCCATATTGAGATGGTTTAGATTTTTATCCCTGGGCAGTTGGCTTGTGTCTTTTCCATTGTTTTTATTATTAAGTCTGGTAGTCTACATCACACATGTCTTCTTCTGGAGACTATTGTCACCTGACAACTCTTAGTGAAAATGAAGAATACTTTCTTTTACTGAGCAATGCATTCCACGAAGTTGTAACAAGAGTCGAAGAACCTTGGCATCTCATAGAAATTGCTGAAGATCAATAAGAATTTTTGGAGTTGCCTCTCATGGCTACAAGCTCTTCATCTTCACTTAAAATAAGAGATATGCTTCTTGAATGCTCCCTTCTCCTTCCCCCTCCCCCATGTTTCTCTCCTGCCATACCTTCTCCAACATGATGAACCCTATCCGTCTGGAATCATAGGCAAGATAAACTCTTTTTCTTGCACAAGTTGCTTTCTTCAGAGTGTTTTATCATGGTGTATTAGTAGTCAGGGCAGGAAATCAAGGCAGAACTGAAGCAGAAGCCATAGAAGAATGCTGCTTACCGGCTTAATTTCCATGGCTTGCTGGAAATTAATTTGCATCAGGGTGACAAAAAGCTCACCACTGCACACAGCAACAGAAAGAAACCAATGTGTGTGCTTTCCTCCACTAGGGGGATTTTGCATCAGGGGATCACTTTGCACAGTGTGTGTGGTATAGGATTCAGAGTGCATATTATCTTACCTCTTAACATCTCAAGAAGCCTGAGATATAAACTACAGACAGTTAAGGAAGAAAGGAGCAAGTTGGGGAGAAGGTGGCAAAGATGACAGAAGGAAATAAAAGAGAAAAGAAAAAACAAGGGATAGAAGGAAATAAAATATTTCTATAGTATGATCTTTATGATCTTGTGAGCCATCTGAATCCCTATGTGCCACACTGTGAGAATGGAAATATGTCCTCCTTCAACATCCCATTGACAAAAACATCCCATTAATAAAAAACAACAGTGACAAGCAGAAACCACTACATGACCAGTGTTCTGTAATCCACTAAGCACAAGTACCATCCAATATCTTGTCTGTTTCCTTGAATCATGCGTATTATATTTCAGCTGTGTGGCTCGCCTAACATTGTTTTTATTTACAAAAATAAATTACATCCTCTATTTATTTTTGTAATTAGGCAAGGGTCAATGTCTTACTTCAGTAACAAGCTACTTTCACATCTTTGAGGAAACTGGGAAAAGGAAACTCTGGGGAGCCTTCCATGATTCCAGGATTATTTCCTCAAGCCTGTGGATCCAAGGCACGGGGATTCTTCCCTCTGCCTATGCACCCATCCATCCATCCATTCAGCAGCCCTCTAACAGAAATTAATTCCTCCTGGTGTCTGCCATAGAAGCCAGACATAAGACATGAGCAACAACAACAGCAAGTCAATTCCCACCATCTTAAAGACAACTTAACACCCAAGAGATTTAAGTAGACATGTGCATGATTATATAAGTAAATGTATGTTTGGAAACCACACTATAATTTCGAGATTTGGGTGTTTTTGTTATTGTTTAGGTGTTTAAATTATTTTTATGTACATTTAGTGCCCATCGAGGTCATATCAGGGCATCAGCTTCCCCGTAGCTTCAGTTTCATGTGTTTGTGACCAATCTGATGAGGTGCTGGGTCCTTGGCAAGATCAACAATCGCCCATAACTGTTGAGCCATCTCCTCGGGTCTTCATTTAGTCTTAGCATGTCCTAGTGTAAACAAACTCAAAGAGGCATCTTGATGTAGGAGAACCAGAGAATTTTGTCCATTGCCCATAGCCAGGAAAAAAAATTCATCAAAACTTTGTTATTTGTACTCCAACAAAATCTCTTGAACTTTGGCATTTAAAATTCTGTCCCTGTTAATCTGTTTAACACTTAAAAACAAATACAAAGAGTTTAATAAGCTAGATTTTGAGAGGAAATGAAAATCCAAAGACAGATTTTGCCTGAACACAGCAACAACCTTACAACACCCTCAGGGGGATCTCAGTACAAGTCCTGGCTGTGGCCCCTTGGTCAAGGATAGAGAGGTCTAAGATTCTAAAGTAAGCCCCATATTACCAGTGAGTCAGTTTGACTTGAGTGGGGGTTAGTGATCACAAAAGCAAAGCCTGTGGCCACTAACAAACTGTAGTATGGAAGTGGACAAGGAAGACTTAAAACAGGAAAAAAGGCAGGGCCATTCCCTTTTAGAGGAGTGACAACTGGTTGTCTAGAAGATTTCATTAGTTTAACCAAAGATAACATTACTTACCAGTCTTCCCATCAGAATCCTCATGCTGATATTATCCCAGCCAGTCACATAGCATATTATGCTTTGGACTCAAAACATAATTCTAGCAATAAGCTTTTGTAATAAAAATCCTTGTACACACAGGGATTCCGGTGGGTGACTACTGAGAGAGAAAGGAAGGGGGAAAGGAAGGTGACATTATTTTGAGATGTGACAGCTGGGTTTCTTTTTTTTTCCTTCTCATTCTTAGGTTCCTTTCCACTTCCTACTTCCTCTCTCCCTTCTCTCCAATCTCCCCCTTCCCTTCCTTCTTCACTCTTTTGTTCCTTTTCAATTCAAGGAGAAGAGTGTGAAAATGAAATTGGGAGAACAACATCAGAGAAGTGCCACTCCGATCAGAATTAGGTAGTGATCTACACTGGATCCCATCTGTTTGTCAGGCAGCTGCAATTTCTCCTACAAAGCCTTTCTGTTTGTTCCTGGTTCCATGAAAGACATTTCTCCACAACCAACGTCTTTGCTTTATTACTGTGGCTGCTCTGAGAGATCTTGGCCTCGGGAGACATTTATCCATTCTGCAAAGGAATTATTCAAGGCTTACCTTTCAGGATTTTAGGGTGGGTCCCACAAAGATATACAGGGGGTTTTAAACAGCAATTATTTGCCAAACATTTGGAAACATTCTTCTCTGAAATAAGTCCATCTCATTAAGCAAGAGATCAACATTAATTACATTATTATCTCAATTAAGGGGCAACCAGCTATGAAAAAGATCTTTAAACACAAAGGTATGCTCTATATATGAACAATTTTTTTAAAAAAGATAAAATTGCCCAGTTTACCAAGTTTGGTTTATTTTACATGTCAAATTCCCATTGCTTAAAAAAATGAATTTCATATAAAGTATGAAACACCATGGCTTTATTAACACAAACATATTTTTTATTAAAGAGTGAATGCATTTATCTAAAGAATAGTTTACATATGCCATAAAGCAACAAGCATATCTTCAGGACATGAGTCCTCACCAATACGACTCCATGCTTATGTACATGCCTTGAAACTGGACCCACATAGGGGACATACACACACAAACACATACATGGACACACAGGTACACAGACCAAAAATACCAACACCATTGCTGTCTGGATTACATTAGCTTTCACTTAAGGCTTCTAAGGTGCCCCAATGCCCCTAACATCACCAGAAATAAAACATACCTTTAAAAAGGAGCAACATCACTTGAAAAAGTGGATCATGTGCCCTCTTAATGTGTCTATTCACCTTAAATGTGTATATTTTAACAAATACTTTCCATGATTCTTTATGATATGCAAAGATATTGAAATTGAGAGATCTCAAGCTATCAGTGAAAATTTCTCTGCAGAAATGATAGTCAAAGGAGTCATTCTGACTTTAGGACATTATTGACTTCACAACAACAAGATCACATTTCCCTTTAGGTTTCCTGATAGACAAGGGATTTCTAGGCAACCTGACTGGATTTCACTCATTCCCTATTTGAGTTCAAGGTTGAATTCAATATTCGACATGATGGGGCAAGACTTCCTAGGCAATGTCATGTCAGAGTTTAAGCATCTCATGAAGGAGTCATCCAACAGGATCTGAACCAAGTAAGTTACTATGAATCAGGATTTAATAAAGGGGAACCTCTACAGACTTCGGCCACCCATTGTCCTTTTTTCTAGGATTTCTGAGACTCCTTGTAGGTCTGATGACTGTATATTTAGTTAATTTGTTATTTTCTTTCCCGTTGGAATCTTACAGTATGTTGAGCCTCAATCCCTTTTGGGGAAGCTTGAAAGAAGAGAACATGGTAGGGACAGGAGGAGGGAAATGATCATTAGTTGCAAGGATTCTAAGAAAATAGACGAAGTGAATACAATAGGAGGGTGCTACTTGATATAGTCATGTAAATAAAAGCATTAACTTTAACTGCGAATTAACTGCCATCTAACGTGCTGTTAGTTGTAAAACTCAATCCAAGCTGTGCTGATTCACATACTGAGGAGAGTGTACGCAAACATGCCAGGGAAGAGGAGCAGTCAGGCAGTCACCTGGACATGTCCCTTCCATCCTGCAGCCCCCACCAGCATCGTGTCCCCACGCCACCCACCCGCCTAGGGACCACAGAGATGCCTCTAACATTCTTGCTGGATTTCATAAGGCAGATGAAATAGTCCATCAGACTACAGCCACACAGTATTTGCCTGAGAATGGTGAAAATAGGCGTGGAGGTCTCCCACCAGGAAGCATCAGAATAGGAGTAAAACACCGAGAAGACAGTCTGGAACCTTTCTCCCTGTCCGCACCCCCACTCTCCTCATGGTCACAGCAGCAGCAGATTTCAATGTCACATAATTAATGATACATTTCTTTAGATTTAGAATTGCTCTTCTGAATTTAAAAAGCATGGTCAGCCAGCCAATGGTTTTGGCAGTCTTTTCATACCAAATTTGAATCATTGCAGACGCATCTATCTTCTGAAATTCCTTGCCCAAATGCTGCCCTCACTGAAAATCTTAAATTCCTTCAGCCATCGTCAGATTCTAATTCCTGGGAAGCCTCTTCAGATGAGCTGCTCCTGTGGATCCGCCCATCACTCTTCATACTATGAAAAGTCTTCTTGAAGGCCTCCATCATGGCATGCGCCAACTTCTTGGCCTCCAGCTTGCTCTCGCATTGCACTGCATGGCAGTCCATCTGATAAGACAGGTCATCGTTGATCTCTCTATACACCCAGGCGAAGATGTTGGGGCTCACGTTGTGGTCGGCTGTGCAGTAGGCAATGCGAGCCACCTGGAAGGTATCCATGTGCACTGTTGCCTCGCCCTTGTGGTCAAGGTGATGAAGCCACACTTGGAATGGACGGATCTCTAGGAGGGCGTTGGCTGGAAAAACGTCTTCTCGGGCCAGTGTGTGTTTCTTCCAGAGCTCGATGACCGGCTTCTCCGTGCAACCAGACAAAAACTGCATGCCTGTGGTAGAGACTTTCCCCAGATAGGTGACCTGCAGAGGGGAGACAGAAAGCAAAGAGGGAGGTCAGCACGGTGCACTGAGCTCGGTCTGGTAGACTGAGGCAGACCTGAAGCTCACTTGACCATATGGAAGCAGAGTTTCTTCTTTTCCTTCCTAACAAGCTTCCTCCAGGGCAAAGGCATTGAAACTCTTTAAACAGAGTCGGATTTTTTAAAATCTAATACCCAAAGAACTCCTTCCTTCTTCCAAACCCCTTTTAAATTAAAAATGACCATTGATGATGATCTTTTATTTAATTTGGCATTTCTTTGAAAGCATAGGTCACTAGGAGTTTACTTTCAATAAACAGGAATATAAGAGCTCAAATACAGCAGGAAATCAGGAGCCTGGTGCATCTGCAAAACAAAGCCTTTATGAAGCTTATCTCTCAGCTGGATCCTTTTTCCAAATCCTTCCGGTTTTGTTTTTGTTTTGCTTTTTTTTTTTCCTTTATGCTGCTTGCTTCCAGCAAATACCAAAGACACAAAAAAGGTCTTCTGTCCAAATTACAGCCAGAAGCATGAGTTCCCCCTTCCACTGAGAAATTTTAAAAAGACAACATTGCTGATTACACTGGGGGGGGGGTGGATATACAACAGAGTCTAGTGTCTAGCAACTTTTCAACCTACACAATTTGTGGAATGATGGGCATCTGATTGTGTGACTGTAGCTGAGAGATTAGGGAATACTAGAATGCAAAATTACCAACTAGTTAGATAGGCACTATTAAAATGAGGGAAAATATTCCCAAGGGATTTTAATACTGTCTTTTTTAAAAAGACATGGGGAAAGGCAAAAGGATTCAGTTGGTAAAGACATGTGTGGCCAAGTCTGAAGACCTGAGTTTAATCCCTAAACCTACATGATAGAAGAAGAGAACTGACTTCCACTAGTTGTTCTTTGGCCACGTTTGCTCTTGTTCATAATTTACCAAGAGGTATCTGTTATTGTTTTTCTCATCAGAATGGGTAGAACTGTTGCCACTGTAATGTAGACACTAAAGAACTAAACAAAACCTAGTGGTCTGTTATGGAATGTTAAAGATGTGTTACATTTGTTTATGTTGTGGAATGTTTGTTTTATGATGCAAAGGTGTGTTGCATTCTTTTATATTGCATTTGTTTAACTCTTTGATGTTGTGTTACTTTGCCTGTCTAAAACAGCTGGTTGGTCTAATAAGGACCTGAACGGTCAATAGCTAGTCAGGAGAGAAAAATAGGTGGGATAGGCAGCCAGAAAGAATAAACAGAGAGAAGAGGGAGAGGAATGAGAAAAGGAAGAGAGGAGGATACCAAGGGCCAACCACCCAGCTACACCGTCAGTCTGGGAGTAAGAAGGAAAGAAAGGCATATAGAATAGCAAAAAGGAAAAGCCCAGAGGTAAAAGGTAGATGGAATAATTTAAGTTCTGGCTAGAAATAAGCTAAGCTAAGGCTGAGTATTCATAAGTAAGAATAAGTATCTGTATATTTGTTTGGGAACTGTGTGGTGTGCCCCCAAAGAATAAAAAAATAAAAAATAAAAAAAACCAACTCCAGCAGTAAATTAATAAGCAATGCAACATTCTGTAGAATTGGGTTTAAATTTAGACTTGGAGATCTAAACACCATGGATGTGAGGATGGGATCCTAGAAAAAGGTCCACGGAAAGGGGATAAAACTGACCGCTGACATTTGGGCACAACCACTGCAAGTGGGGCCACAGGGACTGTATACAAAAACTTTAGAACACAAAAGCAGGGTCCTAGTACAAAGACTTTTGAGCATGGTTCTCTTTGAAACAAGAGTGTCCCTTTTAAAAAGTAGTTTTGCTGGCCTAGCAGTGAACATCTTCAATCCCAGAACTCAGGAGACTAAGGCACAAATCTTTCACAGACTTTTTTCTTCAGAAGATGGACACATGTCCACTACTAACATGTGAAAAGATGCTCAACATTGCTAGCTATTGGCTTTCATCAACTGGACACAAGCTAGTGTCAGCTAAGAAGAGGAAAACTCAGTTGAGAAAAATGCCCTCAGCCTGGGAGTAAGAAGTAAAGAAAAGCATATATAATAGAAAAAGTTAAAAGCCCAGAGGCAAAAGGTAGATGGTTTTTAAAATTGGCTTGCAGGGCATTTTCTTGATTGATAATTCGTATGGAAGGTCCCAGCCCACTGTGGGCAGTCTCACCCCTGGGCAAATGGTCCAGGCATAAGAAAGCAAACCAAGCAAGCCAGGAGAAACAAGCAAGTAAGCAGCATTTCTCCATCCCCTGAGCTTCAATTCTTACATCCAGGCTCCTCTCCTGAGTTCTCACCTTGTTGTCCTTACATACCCTTAGGATATGTAAGCCAAATCATCCTCAAGTTACTTTTGGTCATGGACTTCTATTGCAGCAATTGAAACCTAACTTGGACACTGATTATTTGAGAAATGTAAACAGAATTGCCAGGAGATATTATTAATACTTCAAACACATTACTATGACTGTTACAAGTATTAGCAAGATGAGAAAGCAGAGTCCTCATGTTACTTTGGAGGATTCTGAAAAGAATGCCTTGGCCAGTTCTTCATCAGGAAGTAAAATACCTACACAGCCTTGAGTCACCTGAGAGACAAGTCTCAAGTGATGGATTGTCTGAATTAGATTGAACCATAGGCATGATTGTGGGGTTATCTTGATTATTAATTTGATATAGAAGGGCCCTGCTCATGGTAGGCTGAATCTGTTCCCTGGACAGGTGATCCCAAGTCTATAGATGAAGGATAGTGTAAGCATCAGCCAACAAACGAACCAGCAAGCAGAATTCCTCCATGGCTTCTGCTTCAAATTGTTGCTTGAGCTCCTCCTGCCTTGATGTGCCCTCAGTGCTGCACTGTGACCTGGAACTGTAAATCCAATAAATTCTTTCCTACCCTAAGATGCCTTTTGGTCAGTGTTTCATTAAAATGGAAGGGAAGCAAGGAAAGATGTCTAGCCCAGACAGATGTATATGTATATGTACATGTCCATGTCCATGTATATGTATAAAGGAGGTTGGCCTAGCCCTAAGTTTGGGAGTTTAAACTCCAAAACTGGGACACAGGGTGGGGGTGGGGAGCAGAGGAACATTGATTGGCCTCTGATAAGGGCAACTGATAGGCACATCTTGGCAGGATATCATATAGAAGGAAATATTGTGGAATATTCCTTTAAACACTGTGAACTGTGTTCTGATTGGCTTAATAAAAAGCCGAACAGCCAATAGACAGGCAGAATTTTCAGGCACACAGGAGACTAGGAAGAAGAAGGCAAGACGTCACCAGCCAGATGCAGAAGTGACATGGACAGTACATAGATGAGGTAAATGAGCCTCAGAGAAGCACATAGACCAATAGGAATGGGTTAATTTAAGTTACAAGAGCTAGCTAAAAACACCTGTAAGCTATCAGTTGAGATTTTATAGTTAATAATAAGCCTCGGTGTCATTACTGGGGAGCTGGGGATCCTGACAAAAAAATCTCACTACAAGGAAGAAGTCAGATACTGAGCAGGAGCAGAAAAGACAAGGGGGTAGGGACAGCTAAGTTTGAGCCTTTTACAACCTTCTCTCAAGAACTATAAAGGGGCTCACAAGAGAAATAGTTCATGTCCCTACTAATTCCCACCTTCTCCCAAGTATTGCCATGTCCCAAAAGTGCCAACCAGAGGACTGGCCTCTAATCATTAATATATTCAACTTCTGTCAAACACACACACGCACACGCACACACACACACACACACACACACACACACACACTTCCTTCTAAAATTTATACGGAGAATTCAATTGCAAGAAAATTAAAAATAACTTTTTCAAAAACTTCATTAAATACTGTAGATGACTCACCCAAATAAAAACCAATTTCCTAGTGGTAAAATTCTGACAGCTAGTCAAGAAAAAATGTAACTCTCCTTATGAATGTTTACTATCCATAGAGTAAATATTTTTAAGGAAAACACTTTTATTTTGGAAGTGTGTTTTTGGAGGAACAGAGATTAGAAACTCAAAAGTTTTCATGAGACAAAAATAAAAGCTACTGAATAATACATAGATATTTATAAAGGTATTTTAAAGCATTGAGGTAAAACATGATACATAAATAGAATCTATTCAGGTTAAACTAGTGTCTATTTCACAAATGACAAAAAATAGCAACTATTTTAGCATGTGCTAAAGGTCTCAAGTTATCACTTACATATGTCCACAGCCAAATCAAACTCCAGGGGGACTGAAAAGTTACAAAGGATGTTTACATCAAATGTTACAGTAAAAGCATCAAATATATCAAATTCATTAACAACTCCATGGGCTAGGATGGGATTTTTTTTAAACAGGGTCTTACGATGTAGTTCCGGAGGGCCTTGAACTTGTTAGTTAGACCAGACTAGCCTTGAATTCACAAGGATGTATCTACCTTCCTCTGCCTCTCCAGTGCTGCAATAGATGACTTGCTATCACACCTGCTTTGCAATGGAATATTGCTATTACTAACTCTGTCTAAAGTGTCAAACTTAGATATAGACAAGAGATATACCCAGAATCATTCAGGTAGTCATACTAGGAGCACACTTTGTACATAATTGTGGGGTGTGAGCAACAGCTTAGTGATCTGTGAAGATCTAGACATATAAAAGTCTGAATTTCCAGTGACAATTTTGCTACTGGATGAGAGACATCCCCATTTGTTTTTGCTGTCTCTCCAGGGTTTTATTATCTCTGTCCTTAGATGGTCATATGTATCTAAGATGAAGTTAGCCTTTCCAAATTGCTAACAGGATTTAATTGTCTGGCACTTCTGTAAAGGAACTCTTTTTCCAGACTTATATACATCCAGACATTTTAAAAATAAGAATGTTATTCTTATTTTTGCAACCCTCCCAAATGACAGGAGTGTGGAATTAAAAAGGTCAAACTTATGGAAACAGAGAGCAGGATAATCACTAGCAGAAGATTGAAGAGTTGCAGAGGGGAGGGCCTGGTTAAAGTGT